GTGTGTTTTGCTCCTTGAATGCCTTCAGGGCACTTTTGGCTGGCTGGAGTGTTGTGGGGATCGAACTACAGCAAACTGAGGCTGCCAGCATTGTGGAAGCTGCCACTTAAAGAACTGAGCTAGGGCTGGGACCCCCAGTGTATTCTTTAGAAGCACTTAGTACTTCTTTGATTATAGTTACCACTACATTGTTTAGTTCCGAAATTATTTCTTCTATACCTTTCTGCAGTTGATTGTTTACTGTCAACGCTATTATTTCCGAGATATCTGGCGTGCAATTTCCAGTTTCCTCAGTGCTAGTGTCTTCTGCAGTTGTACTGGGTGGACTTGGGGCCTGAGACTACATTTTGTTCCTTCTCTTTGTCATTTTGTATACCATTGTCTTCTGATCTTTGGTGTAGAGCTTAGATAGAGTTATTACCTTAGTACCAGGTCTGGATCTACAAAGTTCAGATTCCTCCAGGTGGGTGTTGTTTGGATCTGGCTGCTGTGCTCCACTTCTTTCTGCTGCAGGCCTTAGAGCTGAACCCTTTGTGTCACTCTGACAAGATGTTCTGCTCCTGAATCAGCTGGGTGGGTCTTGCCTCTAGCCTCTTTGCAGGGAGTTCTTCTGAAGGGTTCCGTGCTGGGCCTGCAGCCTGGGTCAAATGAGGATCCGTGGGAACTAGGTCGTCTCACTCACTGACTGGGCCTGCACTCTGGGCTATTCAGGATCCCGCGGCCCTGGGTCATCTCACTCACTTGCTGGGCCTACGCTCTGGGTTGTCTCACTTACTCACCAGGCCTGTGCTCTGGGTCTGTTCAGGATCCCGCGGCCCTGGGTCATCTCACTTACTCGCTGGGCCTACGCTCTGGGTCTGTTCAGGATCCCACAGCCCAGGTCATCTCACTCACTTGCCGGGCCTATGCTCTGGGTCGTCTCACTTACTCACCGGGCCTGTGCTCTGGGTCTGTTCAGGATCCCACGGCCCTGGGTCGTCTCTGAACTTGTTTTTTTAAATTTTATTTTATTGAGAAACAAACATCAATGAGACAGTCTCAAAGCTGATCAATAGGACACTTTCAACAATGAATATGTTATACACTGTTATCTTCTTAGTGGTTATCCATAGTACAAGAAGAGACAGGATATCCCATCCAAACGCTATTACTACAAATCCTTCTTCCCATTGAATTAAGTGAAAGTAGCTGTATATCTATCCCATCTCTTCTCTACACACAAACACAAAATGGTCCTTCCTTTGCATCCCCCTCTTTGTTCAGTCCCGTCAGAGATGGGTACTCCACTGGCATCCAAACACTATAGGCGCTTGAATTCAGCAAATCAATCCAACACAGTCCAGCAGTCCACAATAGTAGTAGTGGGCTTTCCTCAGAAGTTGTTGACTAGAGCCCTCAACAGCTCAGCATATCAACATGGCTCTACCCTATATACCTCATCCTTATACTTCTCTGCTGGATGGCCAAGACCAAGACAAAGCAAGACCTACACAACAAGAAATGTAACTCTTGTCACTGACAAGGTCAGTCAAGTCCCCTCAGGATTTATCCTGCAACCCTGCACTGCACTTTGTAGATCCTTTGCCAGTGTCAGCCATGTGGATGAGTCACGGCCACTGTCCGACCAACTTGGGACAGTTTCAATAATTAATATATTGCATATTGTTGTCTTCATAGTGTTTATTCATAGTACAAGATGCAGACATGATATCCTGTACAAACACTATTAGTACAAATCTTTCTTCTTATTGAATGAAAAGAAAATAGCTGTATATTTATCCTATTTTGTATATACAGATACAAAATGGACCTTCATTTGTATGCCCATTTTTTGTTTAGTTTTGTGAGAGATTGGGTATTCCATTGCCATTTAAATATTGTAGGTGTGTGAATTCAGCAAAATAATCCAATATAGTCCAGTAGTCCATCATAGTAGTGGGTTATCCATAGGACTGGCAATGTCAGAAGTTGTTGACTTGAGCCTTTTATAGCTCAGTGTATTAATATGAAGTAGAATTTCTTTCTCTCTCTCTCTCTCTCTCTCTCTCTCTCTCTCTCTCTCTCTCTCTCTCTCTCTCTTTCTTTCTTTCTTTCTTTCTTTCTTTTTTGGCAGAAACAGGGACTGAACTCAGGCCCTTGTGCTTGCCAGGCAAGCACTTATTCTACTGAGCCATCTTCCCAGCCCCACCCCCAGCCTTATTTTTGACACCACAAAAAATTCTGAGAACTCCCCAAAACACATACAGGTGTGACAATTTGCTAGAGAGATTCTGAGAATCACTGAAGATGATTGTACATTTACAGTGTATCACAGGGATAGGCCCTGGGTAAAATCCATCATGGAAAGGGGCACAGAGGCCAGTATCAGGTGGGCTTCAAGTGTGAAGCTTGCATTTTCCTTAGGATTCAGTGTGCCCCCAGGTGTGATGCGTAACAGTTCATACAGGGTTGCCGGTCTGCAAAGTTCAGCCTGTAAAAGAAGCACTGCCCTGATGCAGGGCCAAGCAGGCGCTGACCCACTGGGAAGCCAAGGTCAAGGCCTCCTTGAGCAGAGGTTCCGAAGGCCCTAAGTACACCTCAACTCTGCCATGTTCTCCAGACTCCAGAGCTCACCTGGAGCTGCCATCTGCTCCTGGGGGAGGTCGATTCTTTTAGCCTGTAGTTTCTCCGGAAGTCAGAAATGACCCCATAGCCCCTGTCATCCATCACATTGTGAGGATGAGCTCGCATTACAGGAAATTTCTGGGAGAAGGAGCATTTACCTGACAGAAGTTTTCTGATTTTAAAATATTTGCTGATACATTAATAGATAGTTTGGGACAGTGACTCCGAACAAAACATGACATTTTTATGTTTCTCTATAGCTGGATGCACAACATGGTTGTGATTTCATGTGATTTTTGAGCATGGTTCTGCTTTGAGATTGGGTCAGGAATGGACCTTTATAGTAGTGGCATCTTGTCAGTGCTCAAAGGTTTCCAATTTTGGTGTTTTTCAGATTTATGTATTCGGAGTAGAATTTCTCACCTACTGTTGTCCCCAGGCAAACAGACACTCCTAGCACTCAGGACGTTCCAGGGGCCTCCAGGTCACTCCCTAGTAGCTGAAGGCAAAGCGCAGGCTGCCCCATATTAAGACTACCTTCTCCCTGTGCACTGAGCGTCCCTCACCTCCGGCTCTCCTGCAGCACTTCTCTGCTCTGCACGCATCTGCACAGTTCCTGCTCCACAAATGCTGTGCTCCTCCCGGCACTAACCTCGAATGAGGTGGTGCTTTATCAAATATCCGCCATTAAAGAGCAATGAACAGGATGCTCAGTCCTGGACCCCTGTATGAAATAATGGTATCCAAAACATGTTTCCATCTGAAAGAAAAATTCTATGCATCTGGGCAAGGCTTTTCCACTTGGCTATACTGAACTTCTCTCTGCCATGTGTACAGGGCAGGTCTTACAGAGCTCATTGTTCAATCAGACAAGCTGCCTTTCTTAACCCTTTGACCTTTACTTTTTCAGGGAGGAGGCAGAAGCTGTGCGTGAGGCTCTGATTGAGCTGACTGAGTTTGAGGCGAGGGAGAGGTTCCTGAATGCATTTCCTCATATGAAAAAGGAGATGGAGGAGGGCATAGCCAAACTCTATGCCCTTGCCGAGAAGGTTGACAAGGTGCACAAGGACTGCACCATCACCAACGTGGTGGCTGGTTCCGGTGGTGCCGTCTCTGGCATCCTCACCATCCTTGGTCTGGCTCTGGCACCTGTGACCGCTGGTGGCAGTCTGGTGCTGTCAGCCACTGGGCTGGGGCTGGGAGCAGCAGCTGCTGTGACTGGTGTTTCTGCCAGCATCGTAGACTTCTCATACAAATTGTCTGCAAAAGCTGAAGCCAAGCGCGTGCAGTCGGGCATGATGAGCATAGAGAAGGAGGACATGCAGGGTGTGGATGAGGTCATTCCCAAAGTTGTTTCTGTAACCAAGAAGTTTGTGCAAGCCTCGCAAAACATTGAGAAGAACATCCATGCTATGAAGGTGGCCAATTCCAACCCTCGGTTATTAGCCAATGCTAAGCGCCTCATGAGAACTGGGAAAATCTCAGTCCGACGCAGTAAGCAGGTGCAGAGAAGCTTCAGAGGTACAGTTCTGTCCATGTCCAAACATGCCCGGATCACAGGGGCAGCAACTGCAGGTGTCTTCCTTCTGATGGATGTTTACAACCTTGTGCAAGACTCAGTACATTTGCACACAGGAGCCAAGACTGAGGAAGCTGCACAGCTGCGGCAGCAGGCTCAGGATCTGGAGAGGAAGTTGGAGGAGCTCATCCAGATCCATGAGAGTCTGCAGCAGGACCTGACTCTGTGACACTGTCCCAAGCAACACAGAACTCAGGGAGAATTGCATTTCAAATACGTGGACAAAGACGGGAAGTGCTGTAGATGGGAAAAGAGGGTGAGGTCAGGTCTGTGCAACTGAGTGTTATGGAATTTGCCCTTCTGTGACTGAGAACACCAAGGGAGGGGCTGAGGCAGAGGAAGTGGACTAAAGAGAACACGTGGCTCTGTGGTCTGACAGAGGGATGAGAAGCCCTAGAACGTGTGCGAAATAGGAGGATTTTTTTTTTTTTTGGTCAAGAGAATTCTCTGGTGACCTGGATAGAAGCAGCTGCAGACCTGCTCCTTATTATGCCTAAGATGTTTGAAATGCAGTGAGATAGTGAGGTTAAGCTTAATAGCCTAAATCATTTGATAATAACAATAAGCTTGTCTTCTGGATGGTTAACAACCTAAGTTTGCAGGCCAAAATTA